GGACGGACGGACAGACAGACAGACAGACAGACAGACAGACAGGCTTGTTGCTCTTCATCAGCAGCCCATCAGTCACAACTGTCCTACAGAATGCCCTAAACATTCTCTATTACCATTCACATTTTCTATAATGCGGATGTTTTTAAAAAAGAGTAACTGACTGGAATTCGGCAACTGCTCTAAGCAATGGCAAATCTTCTCTTTCCACTGAAGAATGGAAAAAATTAACAACACCCGCTGTACTTCCATACCAAAAAAGAAAAATTGGCATTGCCTCCTAGCTGTCGCTTCTGTCTGCAGTTATTTCTGTTCTATAGGATGGAACCTACTTATTCAAGTGTAGCATAGAACAGAAGAGGATAACAAACATTTTTCTTGTTTCAAAAGAAGGGGTCAAGGGCCTGTAACCATGAAGAGGACTAGGCAGATATCTACATTTTCTTTGCCTTACCTAAATTTACAAGATTTTTAAAAGACTAGATAGGCTTCCCCCTACTTTGGGGGATAATCCCCATCTCCCATTCCTTATTTTTTAAGCTCACCACAGACCCGCTATTCTCTGCCACCACATATCATGTAAGAAAGTACCCTTAAACACGTTAAATTCACAGAAGAGGCAGGAAATACCATGCAGAAATTAAGTTTTTAAAACATTCTTCTTGTACTTTAACCTGAAATTTTTCAGTGTGCGTCAGGGAACACTTGAAGCAGCTGTCTTATTAGTATTTATTTTTTCTCTGATCTTGTATGCTTTTCCTGATCTTGTGCCAAAACTAAATGTGCGATCTCAAAAAACGTAACTGTGCTTTTGGCATTATTTTGCAGGTTCTCTCCTATGTTGCAAACAGGGTTTTCGTGGTGGTGGTGGCAATGAGGGATTTGTGCCAGCAAAATGTATAGCAGGTGGTAGTGAGGACACAAACAAGAGGCATCCCACAGCAAAGAATGGATTGTCTCAAGTGATGAGGCATTTGTAAGTGCTATCTTTTTGGTCAACATTCATATGATAGGGCAAACCTTTGGCATTGCCTTTGAAAGAACACAAATCTATTAAGGATCTTGAACTTTGGTATTTTCTGCCTAATTTAAGTCAGTGGTACCTGCACCTCTAATCTCGAGATTCCCAGTACACTCTCTCTGTACTCACTGGAATAATGAATACTAGTTACTTGTGTTACCACATCTTGTGCATCTTTAACAACATCATGATGTTTGGATTGTTTTAGACCTAAGAGCCTGTTAATCTACCAGTCCTGCTCTATAAATCACTGCAAACAGCTCCCCTAACAACCTTGCAAACATTCTCTCGTTGCTTCTTACTATTCCTATCTTTGGTCTTACTACATTTCTCATTTTTAAGCACTGGGTGCTTAGTTTTTTGACAAACCCCACTGCAATAGCATAATGATGGCCAGTTTCCACATTCTTAAAAGATGCTATTTCCAGGAAAGATCCTTCTATTGTTTACATTCATTATGCAAGAAGTTTTTTTTTTTAATATATTGCTGTTCCAAATATCCAATTACCTCCATTTGTCTTTTTTCTGCTGCTTCCGCAAGTTGCTGCCTTCTAATTTCCTAAAGAAAATACATAAAATAATTACAAAGGTATTTCACATCACCTATACAGAGATTAAAGATGGGTCTTTCTAAGGTTTTTCCAAATACATTAGAACATTTCAAAATCCTAGAAATGAGTTTTGTTTTTTTTTTAAATGCCAATTCTACTCATGATTTTGAATGTTGCCAATGGGAGTTGCCAGGGAGAAATCCTTAGTCACCCAAGCATAAGCATGTTCAGTGGAAGAAACTTTCCCTCTGCCATGGAGAAAAAAGTTTTTCGATCTCTTTGAGACTGTTTCACTGACTGCAGAAAAGTCCAACCTAAAAGCAATGTTTTTTTCCCTTGTGCATTTTCATTTTCTCTTCCATGGGGAGATGATATTATCTAATTTTGCTATGCAATTCCAGGAGCAAACAATATTTAGCAGATGACTGATAAAATTACCATTATTTTCAATCAGCTAAAACATTGCTTAGTATAACAGTCTTACTGTGGCCAAGGGGCCACAGGGGAGCAGAAAGAATGAATAATCCCTTAACATAATTATTCCTAAGTAATTTTATTTGGTTCAATAAAAAAAGAAAAGAAGAAAAAGAAGGGCCCCACTTTTATCTGTATGTATACATATCAAACAAAGATGTGAACAACTCTTCAGTCTGATATCCTGGAGAGAAAATGCTATTCCCAAAACACCAAGGAATCAATGAGGTCTTGATTCCTCACTGAGGAATGCTACTTCAGCAAATTCATCTGTTCATCTGTCAGGAGTAAGAATCACCCGCTGAAAATAAACTTGGATTCAATCATACAGCTTCATTATAGGTTACATATGTGGCATATGGTTTTTAGTGGCCTGGCCTGGCTATTGTTCTGCTGGTATGAGCCAGCACATGAGTGAGTGTCACAAGAGCTGATGAGCTGACCTGGCTGCTAGCCAGGGCTGGCATGGAGAGATGTCAAAGCAGCAGTCCCATTGGTCCAGCCTGGTATATAGGTATTGGGGACTAGAGCCTTGGGGGGACACCCACCTCAATTGCTGGGGGACATGCTGCTGATCTAACTAAAAATTGAAGGGAGAGGGAGAGAAGGAGAGGAGAGAAAAAGTCTGTGCCCAGAGTTAACAGAGTGCCTGGAGAGAAAAGTTGGAGAGAAAAGTTAAGTGTGCAGAGCAGTTGTCAGTTCATAGTTGGGGAGAAGAAAGGTCCAAGGGTGGCTTCTCAAGATCCCAGAGGGGAAGGAAGAGATCGGCTATTGGTGGAGAAGCTTGGGTCTCTGAGGAAGGCCTGGGCAGAAGATCCTGAGAGAGGTTCTTCTCTCAATGGAGAAGCAGTAGGTATTCAGCTGAGCAGGACTAAATCAAGCTGTGCTGAGCACACCACAGTAAATTGCAGTCCAGCCCACTCCTTTATTTTCACTCTCTCTTTTGTCAAGAAATGGAGAAAGGAGATGGAGAGATAAAAGAGAATAGTCTCTAGGAGGAATATACTGGAATACTCCTCTAGTTCAAAAGGAACTCCATCATACTGTGACAGCTAACATTAAAAATATGTTGCCAATAACCATTAAAAAAAAATCACTATTTTCTGTGACTGTCATAATCTATTTTCCAATACACTTAAATACAAAGGTTAAATTTTCAAGTGGAGCTTGAACTCTGATATCTTAACGAACATACGAGTACAGTTTTATCAACAATAATATAGAAGTGGTTTGCCTCTGCCTTCATTTGGAATGTTTTTAAACCTACCAGTCTAGCCTATAACCTAAGGTTTTCTGATGGCCTTCCACCCATATACTAACCAAATCAGATTTGCTTAATTTTTCAAGATCAGCCACAATTAGCTAAGTACTGCCTTACATGTATAGCCAGATACAGATAAGGGTACAGTGGTATGCAAATGTTTAAGTACCTCTGTCCAAATTGTATGTTTCAATGAATTGCTAAGTGCACAGAAGCTGACATAACCTCTATATGGAACAAAATTAAGCATAACATTTTTCTGCAAGTTTCGAAGCATACCTACTATTTATGTATAATTGTTTCCAGTTTCACAATAAGGAAACATTTACTGTGACAGCTGCAAAACTGTGGACCATTTAGTCAATACCTTGTAATACCACCTTTGGCAGAAATAATACTTTTCAAATACTTCCTGTAGTCAGATAAAAATCATTCCATTCTTGTTTTGGGTTTTTTCCCCCCATTGTTTCTTGCAGAACTTTTCCAGTTCAGAAATATTCTTATATCTCTTTGCATGTACTGCATTTTGAGATCTCCTCACAGGTTTTCAGTAATATTCAAGTCTGGGAACTGTGAAGGTCATTGCAAAACTTTTTATATTTCTTTCCTGTAAGTATTTCATGGCTGATTGAAGATATATTTTTGACCATTGTTTTGTTGAAATATCCAATCTCTTTTCAGCTTCAACTTCATTGTGGGACATTAACTTGGAGACCAGGGAAATTGTCAGCACTGCCCCCAGACTGGTCAGATCTGCCAAACAGAACCCAGATAACCTGCTGAAAAATTCAGTTGATGCTTGAGTCATTCATAGATCCACAGTATCGCACTGCTTATACAATAAGGATCAGCACAGGAGAGTTGTCAGATTTACCTTGGGGTGAATGTTGTTCCAGAGGGCAGAGGCAACAAAAAGGATACAGTCTGAAGCATGCTAACTCAGTTGGAATTTATCAGATGGGCCAAGACAACTGGAGACCGAAAACCTTGCAAATATTCAGGCCTTATGCTATGTAGGGCTTTAAATTGGTTGGATCCCTACAGCAGCTCTTTTGTGAATAGGCTCACACCATTTTGTGAGAGAGCCCACAGGATGTTCTCCAACATATGTGACCACTGGCCCCTAAAGCTTTGGACCCTGGGCATTAAAGGAAAATGAGTTACTTGGCTCCTCTGAAATAAATAAGGTATTACGTGAGGACCTTCCAGTAAGCTGGAAGCAGAGCACACAGTTGCATTAACTTTCCTTGAACGCCACGTGACTATCTGGCATCTCATAAGTTTCAATGGAAAGTAAACCTAGTAATGCTATGCATGCCAACTTTGGAGCAAACTCCAGTCATAGAAAACGAGGGATTTGCTTTTGCTTGTGGGTAAGTTTTTATTTTCATTAAGTCTCCATCAAAGCCAGCTGCACACACCAGAGTATTCTCATGCCACCCAAAACACTTCATAAGGAGTGACATTCCTACCCAGGGCTCTTCCTTTATAAATATGACTAAGTGTACCAAACATACTACGCACGTAGCCAAGCAATTCTCTGACATTCCCAGGAATAAATCAAATGTTTTGAGAGCAAGCAGACCTTTCCCAACAGGGTTTATGCATCCTACATTTTATTTTCCCTTTGGCGTTTCTGAAAGACAGCACCGTCATTACGAGTTCTCTGCGCTTATGTGCCATGGATCACTGGCACTGCAATTCTGGACCTTTGGGTACACACTGTTCTGGCTCTTCCAGTGCATAAAGGCAAGATAAGTAAATCATGCAACAGAAACACTCTTACCTGAGAACAGAACCGGGTGTAATTTACCATGAAGTAAACAGTCCAAATCGGGCTACGAAGCGCATAGTGGTTTTTAGCATTTATTGCAACGGAGTAAGTGAACCCAACAGGGCTCGGTTTTGAACAGACCCGAATAAGACCGTGCTGCCAGTGCTTAAAAGCGGTCCTTTTATATGTAATCTAACAATTAATAGGCAAAGGAGCGAAAAGAGCACCTCAGCGAAGTTTGAGGGGGATTTAAGAGATGTTGCGTGAAGGAGGGTTAAAAAATCGGTCAGGAACAGGGATCGGAAGCCGGGCGCTGCACGACACCTGGGATGGCCCAAAAAAGCCGAAAGGGAAGGAAACCCCAGCCACCACGGAACAAATTGCGGCAGTCCGACCTCGCCCCACTTACTGGGTCCGGCGTCTCCACTACATGGTCGGCGGCTCCCCCCAGGCAAGGTAGGCACAACCCCATCCCGACCCGGCTGCAACAGCCCCGCCGCCTACAGCCGAGCAGCGCCTCCAAGCCGCAGCCCGCCCCGCCCCGCCGTCCTTTGACCAGCGGGCCTCCTCGCACGCGGGCCGCCGCCCGACGGCCCTCCTGCGCGATCTACCGGAGGGGGCACCTGCCGGCCCGGGGCCCGCGGGGGAGGG